AAGTCTTTTATTATTATTTAAAAAATATATTTAAATGATCTAAAAATACTATAATTTAATATATTATATTTAAAAATATTATACGAATAAATTTGAAGTATTACAAATAATATTATTATGTTATAATTATTAAGAAAAATATTAAATATTTATTTTAAATTATTTTTTAATAAATATATTTTTAAAAATACCTAATCTAACTAATTTTCATAATCTAATCTAATTATAACTAGATTATATTATTAAATAAAAAATATATTTAATTTATAAATATTTGATATTTTTTAATTATAAAATAATTATTTTATTTTATTATGATAAAATAATTTTAAAATAATTATTTATTACCATAATTTTAAATAAATAATTAATATTTTTTAGTTTCATTGTTAATTTTAAAATATTTATTTTTAATATATTTTTATTAAATTATATTATAGTAGTTTAATTAGAAAAATAAATGAAAAAAGACATAAGATAGAAAAAATAAAAACAAAGAATAAGAAAAGAAAAAAAATCTTCGGACCAGAGAAGACAAATTGTATATCAACAATAAATTGATCTACTTAAATAAATAAATTAATAAAAATTCTGTATCAATATTTTTTTCTTTTAAAATATATTATTTATAAAATTAATTCTAATAAGATGTGCACTCCATTATCTTTCATATTTTATGACAAAATAAGCAAAACTCCATTATTTTCTCTAAACACTCCAATTATCAATAAAAAAACGTTTTTTAGTTAAATTATTATATTCATTATATTTAGTTTCTATCTATATTTTTTAAAAGATTATTGTATGTTATTAAACTTTATTTTTATGACATATTTGATTTAATTTTATGTTTAATTTAATAATGATTATATATTATATAAGTAAATTTAAATTATAATATTGAAAATTATAATTATTTTCATTTTTTGTGTATATTGTTTAATAAATTATATTGAAATTTAAATAAATTTTGGTTTAAATATGGGTAGACTGTTTCACTCCTCTTACATGCATTTGTCAAAAAAAATTATCTGCATACTACAGACAAGATTAAAAAGTAAGTTGGATATAGGTGAACCATGTTTATTAACAAAATTAATATTCGATCAGAAAAGGGTATTGTATATATAATGCTAAGATTATAGGTGTTTGATAGAAAAATATCTCTACATGAAAAAGGAAAGGGGGGAAAAGAGGAACAAAATATAAAAGCTTTTTAATGAATGATCTTTGGTGAAGAATCGTATCATGACAAATATTGTTGTGGAAGGTGGAATTAGTGAGGAAGGATAACAACTGAAAGCGTGTGATAAGCGGCAAGTGATAGCGTGAATAACTCCGCTTAAACTCAAAACTTGTTTGGCGCAGGTCAAATGAATCCAACGTAAGCATCACATGTTCTTTCAACTTTCCAACAAGTCTTGGATTGACCGTGCGACACGTGGCTTCTTTTTGGCTTTTGACTTTTCCCAAAATGTGTTTGGCAGTGTTTCGTACTTAACCAATGTTGTTACTTTCTAGATGTCATTCAACTCTTTCGTTATACTTTTACCCCTGTTAATAACTAATTCATACTTAATAAAAAAAGTAGTATGAAAACTGTTTATAATTATTATATTTTATACAAATATTATTTTTTAACACCAACTTTTATAAAGTTATCTTAAATAATTAATTTAAGGAGAAAATAATAGCGGATTTATAAAAGGAATAAAGAGACATTTCATAACATTTACTATTTATAACCTAAAATCCTTTAAAAAAAATTAATGCGAAGGACAATAAAAAAATATATAGGAAACTGATAATATGCTTCACGTTGGTAGACGATGACAAGAAACATGGATGAGTGGATGCAACTCGCTTTAGACCCAAAATGTGAGGAGGAACAAAGTCATGAAATTATGTTGCAAAGTGAGTGAAATAATATTGTCTTGGAAGGTAACGGGGGAGTGGGAAAAAAAAGTTGGAAGTGGAGGGAGAGAATAAAAAAAGACGGTGAGAACGGAAATAAGATATTATGGCAGGAATTATTACAACATATGTAGAGGTTTAATGGGATAGAAGATGTGACATGGGAAGACAGATGGAAGAGCTATGAATAGACCAGACAGATTTTTTTATGTCCAGAAACGATTGAATACCTTTTAACCTGTGTTTCTATCTATTAACATATATGTTACTGTAGATGAGACTGGAGGAAATTTGCATGGAAAAATATTGTTTGTATGAGTTTTTGAAAATATATGAGTAGATAACATTATAAGATAAGAAAAAATTTAGTAGAAGTAAGGTGACACTCATAAATTACTATATTAATTTTGAATTTAATTTTCATGTTCACATATTAATAATTATAAATCATATATATACTTCATAGTTGATTATTCCGTGATGAGAACTCCCGCAATTTAATTATTATCTATTTAGTCATCTTATTACATCAAACATATGTTTTTTTTAATATATTTTCCTCTTCATGCTAATAAGAAATCATGTTACAACACTTCCCCATCTTATTTCCTTTTTCATGATGTTTCTAATTTTCTTTTCCTAAAAACATATTAATGAGGTAACAATATTCATAAGAAGCTCTCGTAATTGATTACTGTAACATGATATAATTACCTTTAAGAATAAGTTATGCTCTCTTATAATTTTAAATCATTACTGTTTTTCTCTTTTGTACATATTATCATGAAAAACTATCGTTTTCTAAAAAATGTAATATGTATAAAATATTTTTTAGAGTAATAATAATAATAATAATAGTAATAGTAATAGTAATAGTAATAGTAATAATAATAATAATAGTAATAGTAATAGTAATAATTATTATTATTATTATTTTTATTTTTATTTTTATATATTTAAAAATGTGCACAATATAAATAAATGTTAAAATTGATATTTTTATGAGAGAATTATACATTTTTTAGCCAACCCTAACAAAATATTATTATTTTCTTAAAATTATATAAAATGTTAATCAATTTTACTAACGATTAATATTTGCAAAAATTATTAAATTTAAATATGATTTTGAGTAATGTGAAATAAGGTTATATTAATTATTTATAAACTACTATAAAAATAAATTATAAGATATAAATAGTCTAAAAAATAAGAGAGGTTTTTTCAACTTATATATAAATTAATTTATTTTCAATTGTTTTTATATATTCTATTAAATAATGATTTGATATTAAATTATATTTGTTCTTATTAAATTTATATTAAAAATATTTTGATGATTTATTTATTAATTAATTTATTATTTATTTTTAAAATTAATTAAATCAATCTTATCAACTATCATCTTTTAATTAATTTTCTTTTACTTTTTATTTAATTTTTCTTAATTCAAATAATTTTATTTTATAATTTTTTTTCCACCATCTCAAATCTACGTATGGATCCAAATCCAAGCTTTAAAATCCTCAGGAGATGACATGGGATATAAGGGTTTATTATACAAAACTGGAGGGAGTGCGTTAAAAGAAAATATGGCACAAGGATGATGGTGGAATTTTAGATGAGATGATCAAGTGTCTATAACCAAAGGAGGTAGAAGAGTGAGATTTATTGGGGGAGAATCGTGATTTGGAAATTTTAAATTATCTACTCATATTTGGTATGTTATATACTTCTAGTGGTTTGGAGCATTTGGAAGAGAAGAAATCTAACACATATTTGGTATGGGGATCTTTGGAGAAACCCATGTGTTAATCTAACTATATAAATTCTTTATACACAAAATATTGAGAACTTAATTACTAAAACTATCAAAATAGGATAGACTAAAAAAAGTGAAGTTAGACTAAATTGTGGCTTAAATTAATTAAGTTATATTTTATTTAATCTATTTAAATTTTTAATTTAAATAAATTTAGACGAGACTAAATAAGTCCATTTGTACAATAATACTTATATTTTACAAAATAAAATAAATATTATTTTTTAAAACATAACATATATTTTATATAATTTATATATTACATTTAAAATGAAAATTAATTTTATTAATATGTTTGGAGAGCGTGTATTAAGCAATCAACTTGGCGTTTGGAGTGGTGCCTACAACTGCCTAGTTACAGTGCTTCTTTAGTTAGTCAAAAGACCCTAACTCCGCATTTACCTCCAAATTACAGCTAAGCATTAAGCACGTCATATATCATAATCGCGTTGCAAACGTGGTCCCATCGTTTTTCTCAGGTCAACTCTCCTCCAACTCCCTCTCTCCTCTCTCCAAACAGATATTGTGAAAACGGGACCAAAATATTAGGTTGAAAGAAAATTTGATTGGAGTAAAATCATTTTTAATCAAAATTTATTATTTTATTTTTTTAACATAATAAAATAACTTATAAACACAGTATTTATAAAATTTAAATTTAATTTCACTTAAAAATATGCTAAACCACGACGTATATATATTTAATTTATTCAATTAATCTCATACTTAACATAGTTATACTGGGTCTGACTTTTATTTGTAATGAACACATAAATTTTTTCCCCTAAAAGCTATAACTCTTAACGTTGTTTAAAAAGCAATTTATAGTAAGAGAATATTAACTCGATTAAATTGGATGGGAAATTGATGATTGAGACAAAGAAGTAAAAATTCTTTACTGCCAACTAATTTTTTCTTAAAAGTATCTGTCTGATATTTTTCGGTGTTAAATAGTACTAGAAAATCGTTAATAAAACACTATATTAGTAGAAAATAACGAATGTAATAAGGACAACTATTGCTCTCAAATATTTTAAACTATGATGGTTTATTCTATTGCTATTTTCATAATAATAATAGAATTATATCTATTTCCACCATCTACGTTAATATTCTTATGGAAAAAATATTGTGAAAGGATAGTTACCAATTTAGGAGATGGATGTGTACAAAAAAAAAAAGAAGATACGGTGTTAGAATAATAGACGATGATGAATGATGCACCCATTTTTGAATTAAAGGAAAGAAAGTAGTAAGAAAAGACCTAAAAACGGTAGCAAATGCATCCATCCATGGATCCTATTTCCTTATATTGTGAGGGAAACGAAACATGATGCACACATATCAAGGAACTGCGAACAGTGTGGACTTTAAGCAAATTTGAAATCATAGCCGAAGAAAGCATGAGACACACTGTTCCACCCACAAAAGTCAAAGCCAAAACAACACACAAGACAGGGCCAACAAAGAGTCACAACTTGGTCAATTACCCTTTAAGCCTTGTCTGAAAAAACCAGCATTCTCTTTCCCAAGCCGTGCCAAGAACACCACAATTGTAATTTGCAACAAAAGTCGAACCCTTCTTTTTTTCGGTTGACAAGCCAAACCCATCTCTCTGCCCTGTCTTTAACCCTTTCCTTTACTCTTTCCCTGTCTCGCTGCAAAGCTGAGGAAATCCAAAATAAATGCAAAAAATAAATAAAACGAATGGACTAGAATCTGCATGATCAATCCGTCAAACTTAGGAAAGTCGTTGTCACGCAGGCTGCATCGAAACTCCTACGGGATTGAAAAGTAAGAAAAATATTGAGAATAAAAAAGAAAAAAGAGCACTCAAACAAAGTATTTGGAAATTCAGTCCTTCTTTCTTTTCCCTTCTAACTCATACGCGGATTTCCTCCATTTTTTATTTCTCCGTCCTCATCGCTTCTTCTTATTTCTTAACCCTTTCAACATTCAAACCCTCACCCAACATCACCACGGACAACAACACCAACAACTGTTTCATAGTCTTTCTTTCTTTGCGAAACTATAACATTATTTCCCCTGAAAATTTCTTCTCTTCCGCCCCAGATCTGAAACTTCCGCGAGTTCTTATTTTTCACCGTGTAAACTTCTTGGTTCTTAAAATTGCCATCTGGGTATCGAAGATAACGTCATATTGAATCCCCCGAGTGGTATTTCAACGCCGAAACCCTAGAATTTCTGGAATGGCTTCTGGGGCAATTTTCTCGTCGCTTCGGCGGAGAAGGTCGCCGACGTTAGACGCTTTTCTAGCCCCCGTTGACTTAAGCGACGTTGCTTTGGTTCAGACCCTTGTCTCTGTTGCCTGCGAGATTGTGTCGTGTTTTTCGAAGCGTTGCTTCTTCTTTCAGCGCAAAAACTCGCGGTCTCTGATCCGAAGAGTCGAGGTTTTTCAGTTGCTTTTGGAGTATTTGCGCGATTCCGATTCAAGTTCTTCGTGTCTTCCACCCACGGCGGTGCTTTGTCTCAAGGAGCTCTACCTCTTGCTCTACCGCTCCAAGATTCTCCTCGATTACTGCGCACAATCGAGTAAGTTGTGGCTCTTGCTTCAGAACCATTCCATCTCTGGTCACTTCCACGATTTGAACCAGGAGATTTCGACCCTTTTGGATGTTTTTCCCGTTAAGGATGTTTTGTTGAGTAAGGATGTTAGGGAACAGGTTGAGCTCTTGCAGAAGCAGTCAAGGAGAGCTAAGCTTTTTATAGATAGGAAGGATGATGCTCTAAGGGTTCGGTTTTTTTCCTTTCTTGACGAGTTTGAGAATGGAAGGATTCCTGATTCTGCTGAATTGAGATCTTTCTATGTTGAGAAGTTGCAGATTGTGGATGCAGATAGTTGTAGGACTGAAATTGAGGCCTTGGAGGAGCAGATTGTTAATCACGAGGGTGACATTGAGCCTACTATTTCTGTGCTTAATGGTTTGGTGGCTATGACTAGGTATTGCAGGTTTTTGCTTTTTGGCTTTGAGGAGGATGAACTTGGTGTGGAGAACGGGAGTCAGAAGAAGCCTAAAACGAGGTTGATTACTCGGGAAATTGCTGAAACGTTTTTTACTATTCCTAAGGACTTCTCATGCCCAATTTCGTTGGATTTGATGAGAGATCCTGTAATTATTTCCACTGGTCAAACATATGATAGGAGTTCCATTTCAAGGTGGATGGAAGAAGGGCATACTACTTGTCCCAAAACAGGTCAAATGCTTGTTCACACTCGCCTGGTTCCTAACCGCGCTCTGAGAAATTTGATTGGGCAGTGGTGCACTGCACATGGGGTTCCTCTTGAGCCACCAGAGGTCATGGATGCGATGGGGGAAGCCTTTGCATCAGCTTGTCCCACCAAAGCTGCCCTTGAAGCCAACAGAGCCACAGCTAAGCTTCTTATTGAACAGCTTGCTGGTGGGTCTCAGGCCGGGAAGACTGTGGCTGCTCGGGAGATTAGGTTGCTTGCAAAAACGGGAAAGGAAAACCGCGCCTTCATTGCAGAAGCCGGGGCGATTCCCTATCTTCGGAATTTACTTTCATCGCCAAATGCTGTTGCTCAGGAGAATTCTGTGACTGCCCTGCTCAATTTGTCCATTTTTGACAAGAACAAAAGTAGGATCATGGAAGAGGATGGGTGTCTGGGATCAATTGTTGATGTGTTGAGATTTGGACATACCACAGAGGCTAGGGAGAATGCTGCTGCAACATTGTTCAGCCTATCGGCCGTCCATGACTATAAGAAAATAATTGCAGATGAGATGGGAGCGATTGAGGCCCTGGCAGGGCTATTGCAGGAGGGGACTCCAAGAGGAAAGAAGGATGCTGTGACAGCATTGTTCAATCTTTCCACACACACTGAGAATTGTGTTAGAATGATAGAGGCCGGGGCAGTGACAGCACTTGTAGGTGCTTTGGGGAATGAAGGAGTTGCAGAAGAAGCAGCAGGTGCACTGGCATTGATCGTCCGGCAGCCTATTGGGGCCAAAGCAGTGGTAAACGAGGAAGCAGCAGTTGCTGGTTTAATCGGAATGATGCGTTGTGGAACGCCGAGAGGTAAAGAGAACGCGGTTGCAGCATTGCTTGAGTTATGCCGTAGTGGAGGTTCAGCTGCAACAGAAAGAGTTGTGAAGGCGCCAGCTTTGGCAGGATTACTTCAAACCCTTCTCTTTACAGGGACAAAACGTGCAAGAAGAAAAGCAGCTTCACTTGCAAGAGTGTTTCAAAGATGTGAGAATGCATCTCTACATTATGGTGGATTAGGTGTAGGCTATGCGTTTGCTAGCAATTCAACTACAACCAGGGATACCAGCTTCGCCGGTGACGTTTCAGTACCAATGTCCATCTCTGTTTTATAGTGATAAAACTTGTGTGTTCACTAAGTTCCCCCAATTTTTGTTGTAAGTGTTACTGATTCTTTCATTGAAATTTAAAGTCATAAGAAATTATAGCAATATCATGTATTCTAAGAGATCCACTAGTGTTGTGGAGCAGTTAGCCTCAACATATATGTAATGAGTCAAATTATGTAAGAATAGACAATGCTCGACAGAAGAGACAGACCATTTCTGATATCATATTTGTTCAGCTCCTCCCCTCCCATATTTTCTATTTGTTTTCCTAATGGATGATGGCCGTAGGGACAGAACCACGCATCTCCGAAAGTCCAGCGTTTGGACCAGCCTAGTCATGTGTGAGTATTGAATTAAAACTGATACGTTGGACCAGAGTGTGAACAATTACAATATTTGTGCTATAATATAATCCGGTTTCTGGGTGGTCACATCTTGCTTAAAGCGTGTTGTCATAAATTCAATTTGATCCCCAGTCAAAGAATTGGGAGCGTTCAGATTGAGTTGCGTCTAGCTGGATATTATGCGGGAATGGGTGAAACGTGCAGCATGCGTGATTCTGAGTTGTTTAGTTAGCATGTAGTCCACTAAATCTGTTCCTAGAAGAATCTCGACTAGACAAAGTTACGGGTGAATGTTCTATCCTTTTTGTCATTGATACACTTTTTCTTGGCATAAAGTTAGGGGGACGGTCGATCACACAGATGAGATGCTCTGTGCCTCGACTCTCTCTGCTTTTTCATCCATACGTGGTCTGAGAAAGCAATTGGACTTGCATTTGTATCGTGAAAAGGTACGAGGGTATTTCTTTTGGACACAATTCTTGGGCTAATTTTATGAAGATCCTGAAAACATTGTTTTGAGGTAGATATTTCAAAGATGGATATTATTCTCCACATTAAAGTATTTGGCCCCTTTGAGTGGTGCAGGATTGTCATCTTACTCATCCTTATTCTTCCTTTCCATAATCATGACGTTGATGACCTAACCAGGTTTCCTCCAATCACATTCTCCCCATCCCTGCACAATTACAATACTGCTTAAAAAAGTCCATCACATGTTTGATTTAAATCTTTTTATCTTTTACTTTCTTTTTTCAATGCCAAAGATCACTCTTCTATTTTACTTCTTTCAAATATTTGCATAAGTATTGAATCAAAAACTAGTGTAAGGATCGCTTACCAACGAATAAAAAAAAGTATTTAACAGAATTGAATTTTCCATGAGAAGATTATGGTGTTCAACTATTTGTTTGAAACGTTACTTTATTCTCAACGAACGGATGATAGTAGTTTTTTTTTTTTTTTTCTTATATTTGTCTCCCTTTTACGTGGTTATGTTTTATCATAAATCATAGACATTTACAACAAACTAGAAGAAAATTCTTAATCTTTTGATTCAAACATTCAAAGCAGTTGAAGGGGTGGTTCCAGAGCTAGAAATTACATGCCGTCCAAAACAATGCATGAAACCATGGTCATGACTCCGTAGCTTGTTTCTACCATCGCTTTTTGGGAAGTAATTAGAACCACACTTGACTTCTAAGTGTTTGACTAAGAACATCTGTAGAGACGTTAAATCTAAAATTTATAATTATAAATTAATTTAAAATATAATACTTTCATTTAATAGTTTATTTTAATTTCAGTTAAAGTTGGGGGTAATAAAGTTTGAACATATAGAAGAGTGATTGCTAAGGGTAGTATATGTTGGCAAATTTTGGGTCATGTATATATATGATACATATTTAAATGTGTTAGGGTCATTATTTATTAAGCCAAATAATAAAGTGATCTGAATAAATTAAAGTTTTGGCTAAAGGCATATGTCATGAAAATATTATTGTGTAGAGACCATAGAGTAATTTCTAATTTGATGAGGGGTCAAATTGAAAATACTAAAACTTAAGTAATTAATCTAATTTTGGTTATATAAAGGGTCATGGTCCCCTTTTGAGAGCACACAGACAGAACGTAGTTACAGTCCCGTTTCTTTCTCTCTATTCCCATCAAGAGAGAAAATCCATAGGGAAATACAGGTGCTCTTCAGGTGGAAGACCATAAGATCAAATCAAAAGTGCTCTACAAAGAATATCATCATTATGGATAATTCAGGTATGCTTTCGCATTTAGTTCATAACATGTTTACAGTATGAGATTATAGATATATGTTTGATCATTAGGATGAAGATCATATTCAATTACAGTTTAAACTAACAATTGGTATCAGAGCCACTCATACATTATTTATGTTTGTGTTAGAAAATATTTAAGAATTGAGATTAATTTACAGAACCCTTAATCCCTAATTAAAAACCCCAAAATTGAGAATCCTAGGTTTCTTAAAATCCGATTCTCTGTTCCGTGTGTGACATTATCTGGAGACGGCACAACTGTTGGCTAATTTAATCCCCCCAACAACTGCTTGGGGAAGCTTCGTGGCGCCGTCGAGCACCCTCGACGCCACATTGATCATAGACGGCAGTGGAACCTCTGCCAACCGATCCAAAATTTGGCGCTAGGGGCACCGAATTTGGTAATGTTCGCCGTCATGGTGATCAAATAGGTCACGTAACTGTTGCTACCCCGGAACAATTGGCGACGAGAGAGGATGGTGAATATTATGTGATGGGATTGATGGTTCACGTTGTGCTGGGTGCTATTTCATAGGTGCTTTATTGCTTATGATGAAAATTTTATAATTGGGGCGTGATGCCCCTATACTGAGAGGGAAGGAAAAGTTTGTAATGTTCATCATCTATCTGGAATTATTTAATGTAATATTAAATTTGAGTTTGTTTGTGAGATGGCGGGACAAATCTTTTTGGTAAATATAAAATTTAAATCAATAAAGCTTCTAAGAATTTTGGGGAGCTGAAGGGCCAGGAGTAGGAGCAGAGGTATAATGTGGACACCTCATATGCCTCTAAGGTGTGGACCCCAACCCATGCCTGGAATGCAAGGCTTTAACCTTGTAATGATGGGAGTTGGAGGAATTGACCTTGTGTTTCCTCACCATGAAAATGAAATTACTCAGAGTTGTGCTGCATGTAAGAAAAGTGATATAAGCGTATGGATGCACAATGGTTTTGTCACCGTTGATTCTGTGAAGATGTCAAAATCTTTGGGAAATTTTTTTTTTCACAATACGTCAAGTTATAGACATTTACCATCCACTGGCCTTGAGATATTTTTTGATGAGTGCCCATTATCGATCTCTTGTCAACTACTCAAATGTACAGCTTGAAAGTGCTTCAGATCGTATTTTTTTTATATATAAATAAATAAACAAATTTTGGTTTTGTTATATAATATTCAAATTTTTTTGGTAGTTTAATATTTTTTTTTGTGAGCAAATTGAGTCAAGAAGTTACCAAAGTAACCTCTCTTGAATTGGGCAGTTCATGAAAAATATTGAATGTTAGTGTTTTGTGTATATTCATGCGAGTATTAGTCGGCCCAAAGGAAGATTAATATTTGGCCGAATTGCACACACACTTGTAATGATAAACATGTGATAATTATAAGGATTTGCTTTGTCGATGATAAATCAATCCAAAGACTGGTTTGTTGTTGGACGTGCTTTATTGTCAATGTTTGATTATTACAACAAGATACCTCTAGTAGTTAATATTAATGTCCAAAGACTTGATATTGATGGTGCATTGGGTGTCTTGAGATGGGTTAAACCATTATTTGAATATATATTTTATTTATAATTATTTATTTTTTATAATGTGAGCATAATTAGTTTATTTCTTTTGTTCTAATCCAACTACAATTGCTTCTAGTATCTGCCAATTTAAATTATGTTCCGATCCTCAAAAGTATGTTTCCTACTTTGGTCTGTTCTGAAGTCAATTTAGCGTCAGTACCTAGTAACACTTGGTGGTTAGACTCAGATGCAACTACTAACATCAGTGTTTCTATAAAGGGTTGCCTAAGCTACCGGAAGCCAATTGATTCTGAAAGATGGATATATGTTGGAGATGGCAAATCGGTAGTGGTGGAAGTCATAGGGCATTTTAAATTGTTATTGAGTACTGGTTTTTATTTGGATTTGAAAGACACTTTTGTTGTGCCGTCATTTAGACGGAATTTGGTTTCAGTTTCTTATCTGGACAAATTAGGTTATTTGTGTTCATTTGGAAACAATAAGTTCAGTTTGTCTTTTAATTCAGATATTATTGGAACTGGTTCACTTTTGCCTTATGATAATTTGTATTTACTTGATACCTGTGACCACCTATAATGAAACCCTTAATACAGAATCACTGGGTACTAAACGTAAAATTGATGATACTCACTCGGGAGCATTATGGCACGGCGCTTAGGTCACATCTCTAAAAATAGAATTGAACGACTTGTGTCAACTGGAATCTTAGAGTCCATTGACTTCACAAACTTTGATGTTTGTGTTGAATGCATTAAGGGCAAACAGACCAAAGCGAAAAGATTAGGTGCATATAGAGCTACAGACGTCTTAGAGTTGATACATACGGACATTTGTGGGTCATTTCCTACACCTTCGTGGAATGGTCAACAATACTTTATATCATTCATAGACGATTACTCACGATATGCATACTTATTCCTTATACATGAAAAGTCACAATCTCTAGACGTGTTCAAAACATTTAAAGCTGAAGTTGAAAATCAACTCAATAAAAGAATTAAGTCACGTCGGATCTGATCGTGGTGGTGAGTACTATGGCGGATTTGACGGTCGAGTTAACAACGTCCAGGACCTTTTGCCGGGTACCTAGAGGAGTGTGGAATTATCCCACAGTATACCATGTCGGGATCACCTAGCATGAATGGTGTAGCTGAAAGACGAAATCGAACTCTTAAAGATATGGTCAGGAGTATGATTTGTCATTCCACCTTACCGGAATCACTCTGGGGAGAGGCACTAAAGACGACAGCTTATATTCTGAACAGAGTACCAACTAAAGCAGCGACCAAAACACCTTATGAGCTTTGGACTCGGGCGACAACCTAGTCTCG